CCCCCCCCCCCCCCCCTTTTCGCAGGATCACTCAATCCATTTCTCCAAATGATATTTAAACGTTTAATTTTAAACATTCATGAAAACAACTCACCCCGTCCGGTCATGCAACATGACAATAATACAATACACTCAGGTCACAAAGTTCACTCAATACACGCAACAATAATCGCAATCAAACACTATCACAACTATAGTCTTAGTGAATTCAAAAGACAATAGATAAAATTCACATGATCACCGAAGTATTTTCTAAGTTTGTTTGCAGAATCAGTCAGTTTGCAGAATCAGTCAGTTTGCAGAATCAGTCAGTTTGCAGAATCAGTCAGTTTGCAGAATCAGTCAGTTTGCAGAATCAGTCAGTTTGCAGAATCAGTCAGTTTGCAGAATCAGTCAGCATCTTTGACTGTCTTAACATTTAAAAAAAAAAAGTCTTGAAGCACCAAACCGGTTTCTATCTGTTTACGATTTTATATTGAACTTTGATATTGAATTTTGATATTGAACTTTGATATTGAACTTTGATATTTAACTTTGATATTGAGCTTTGATATTGAATTTTGATATTGAGCTTTGATATTTAACTTTGATATTGAGCTTTGATATTGAATTTTGATATTGAACTTTGATATTGAGCTTTGATATTGAACTTTGATATTGAATTTTGATAAACAAAAGTAGACAAACATGATATGAGGTTTGACTAAACTAAAGAGTAGAACAAGGTTTGTGGAAGCTTGAAAAAGAAAGACTATTCTCATGTCTGTATTCTCATAAGGAAGAACGTTTCAGCTATGAGACTTTTAAAGTACTTGATATTTCTTGTTATTTCTTCATTTGTCCGGTCTATTGAGGGGGTCTATGTAGATACCCCCACCCCCCAACAACATTTTTAAAAATAAAGTTTTATATTGAAACAAACTACTGTAATAATCATTATGAAGAGGGAGTCTACTGATGAGTGTGTTCAATCAACGTGTGTAGTGTGTAATCCTTGTAATATTTTGAGCCAACATTAGCAAAGACATAAAATTCCAATTAAGACATTCAATATTTCATATTTTGTTACCTGAAAAACAACACAAATGTAATGACCAATGAATTGTTTTTACTTTGCCTAAGCCCCAGGAACGTTCTGCATTGCAGGGATCTAGGCTGCCACAACGGCGAGCCTCGATTTGGAGCCACAGTAACCAACGTTACAACTACGCTTAACTGCAAGAAGGATACAGAATCGAGCAGTAGAGAACAAGCTTGGGACTCTGTTACTAAGGTGCAAGAACTGAAGAGATGGTTTGATTAGCTACTAAGCTAAGACAAAACAGGATGGTGGTCCTTACAGAAAGCTACAAGACCCAACAAGATGGTGGTCCTTACAGAAGGCTACATGACCCAACAAGATGTCGGCCTTTATGGTAAGCTACATGAGCTTTCAAGAGGATGGTCTTTATTACTATAAGCGACACGACCCGGAGAGACGATGGTACACGTTGTTTATCAATATCAGCAACCTAACGATGTTATCATGAGTAAGAACAGAAGCTCTTTGTCACTGGCGAATGTGGTACACGCATCACTCAGAGTTTGGTGTCATCGCGAACCATTTAGTGGCAGTTGATTTTGACAAAGCGAATAACAGAAAAAAAATTAAAATAAAACCGGACTAGTTGACTTCTTCACTGACTGTTTGACTTATTCTCTACGTACCAAGCATTTACAAATCTCTGGTCCCAATGACCTACCAAGATTCATGTCGGCGCCCGGCACCTCCATGTCTTTGAGTACTCCATGAACTGAGTTTGATGCGCCATGTTAATCAACGTTTGGTCTGACAGAACACAAGCGGGCGATACTAGCGGGCGATATCAGTGGGCGATACAAGTGAAATATGGCTGAGAACAATTCCACACTAATCAAGCCACCAAGGTAAGTACATTACATTAGCTGGTGCTAATTCTTCACTCGTCATAAATAACAGAATCAAGTATTTAAGATAAGATGAGATTAGATTATTTCAGTTTTACTGCTGAAAATGAATCAAAATGTTGTTGGGAACGTATCAATTTTCATTTCATCAAATACAACAATAGATAACAAATGAAACAACTAACAAACAGACAGCTACAATAAACACACGACATCAACAACATCAATAAGTAAATCAATGAGTACATCAATGAGTACACAAATGGTTACATCAACGGGCACATCAAGGAGTACACAAATTGGTACATCAATGAGTGCATCAATGAGTACATCAATGAGTACCACATGAGTACACCACTGAGTACATCCATCGGTACATCAATGAGTACATCATGAGTACACCACTGAGTACATCAATCGGTACATCAATGAGTACATCAATGAGTACACAATTGGGTACATCACGGGTACATCAATGAGTACATCGATGAGTACACCAAGGAGTACATCAATAAGCACACCAAAGCGTACATCAATGACAACATAAATGATTACATCCTTACATCAGGGAGGTGGGGACACAAAAACAGGGACAACTCACACCAGATATTGTCCATGTTATTCAAAATTGAGAATATGATCACAAGCTGGGTAAGTGAATTCAGCTCGGGCCGTCTGACGTCACGCCGTATTACCACCTTTGAACAGAACCCAAGACAAGACAACAACAAAGAAGCAAATGAATGATATTTGAGCTTGTGATAGTCTTGTCTCATCTTACCAGTTTTTAAATTAAGAAAAAATCTTTTTTCACGAGGTTTCAACCAACGATTTAGAGTTAATACGAATAATTTAAATTTTAAAGAATGTATTTACATTTAAAAAAAAAAATTTGTAAATTGTTTGTTCCGAAAAATTGTTCAATTGATTTAAATTATTAATGATGGATCTTTCCTTATGTATGGATCAAAGCAGCGGTCGCTACTTGATTGTCTTATGGCACACGAACCATTGGATAGTATTTTGGGAACCCTTGGTTTAACTGGGTAATCTGATGGAGCCAGGGATTTCAATTTATGTCAATACTATTGTGTAAATCCTGGAATTAATAAAAAAACTCTCCTACCCTGAATTTCTTTTTTTCTTTTTACTTAAAGTTTATGTATCTCTAAGATATTTTGGCCCGTTAAGAGTCTAGCCTTATTTTTCACAGTAACAAGATATATTATATATTCTTTCACTTGCTATAATTTTTGTATATTGATTTTTATAAATTCTACTTCAGGCAACAACAATGGCGATCACTTAAGTTTTTAACTGTGCCTTAGTTTCTGTTTGTATTCTTATTTGCCGTGTTTGCTGAGAAAGGCTCAGACGTTCGCATCTTACTGTCCTGTCTCTTGATTCAAGCTCCTACATACTTAAATCATTCAAACAGCTTGAATGCAGTTCTTCCTTTACTATCCAGAGAGGATACAGACACCAGTCTTGGTGTATGCCACCAGAACCAATATTTATAAGAATATGTGCCTAATAATAAGAATATGTGCCTATTGTAAGAATTTGTGCCTATCTATCGGCATCCTTCCGTCTCGTGAGACGATGGTGCATCACCAATTGGTTGGGTTGCATTTTCTCGAGTGGCTGTGCAGTCCTATCCTTGAGTGACAGTCTTTACCACAGTTTTTACACACGAGTTCCGTGCTTCCAAATGTTTTGGCCTTTCTCCTAGCTCTTCTGTCTGCAGCCTCTTCCATTCTTCGCTCCTCGGCTACCATGACGCCCTTTTTGACAACTGTGCGCCACGTAGATCGGTCTTTTGCCTTACACTCCCAGTCACTTGTATGTATTTTGGCTGCTTTCATGTCCCTTTGACAGACATCTTTAAATCGCAGACGTGGGCGACCTGTTTTCCTCTTTCCCGAAGCAAGTTCACCATATAGGAGGTCTTTCGGAATGCGGCCGGGACTCATTCTTTTAACATGACCTAGCCATCTCAGGCGTCTTTCACTAAGGATTGTGAACATGCTTAATTCTTTTAACATGACCTAGCCATCTCAGGCGTCTTTCACTAAGGATTGTGAACATGCTTTGGGTATTCGCACGCATTAGGACCTCACTATTAGTCACTTTTTCTTGCCATTTAATACCAAGGATGCGACGCAGGCATCTCATATGGGAGCTATTAAGCTTGCGCTCTTGGGATGTATAGGTGGTCCATGTCTCGCTCCCGTATAGTAGTGTACTGATGACACAAGCTCGATAGACGCACAGTTTGGTAAGAATTTGTGCATATTGTAAGAATATCTGCCTATTGGAAACTCTGAAATCAAACCCGGAGATGGAGTCCCGAAAGGCGGATAACATTGATACAATGAAACATTCCGACAACTCCTCCGACGTCACTAGTGCCAAGCTGTATCATCCAATGATGTTGGACAGCGGCGTGGAGAGAGGCGATTTGCTGTTGAGAACCAGCTTATAATCCTTGAAGAATATTCCCAGGCCACGTGGATTTCGTCCTCCGAATCCCACTCCATCGTCACATTTGTGAGGGACGGATGCCAGCTAAACTACACGAATATCTGACTACTGTTACAATCTGTGCCTGCTGTACGAATATCTGACTACTGTTATAATCTGTGCCTGCTGTACTAATGTCTGACTATTGTTATAATCTGTGCCTGCTGTACGAATGTCTGACTACTGTAATAATCTGTGCCTGCTGTACGAATATCTGACTACTGTTATAATCTGTGCCTGCTGTACTAATGTCTGACTATTGTTATAATCTGTGCCTGCTGTACGAATGTCTGACTACTGTAATAATCTGTGCCTGCTGTACGAATATCTGACTACTGTTATAATCTGTGCCTGCTGTACTAATGTCTGACTATTGTTATAATCTGTGCCTGCTGTACGAATGTCTGACTACTGTAATAATCTGTGCCTGCTGTACGAATATCTGACTACTGTTATAATCTGTGCCTGCTGTACTAATGTCTGACTATTGTTATAATCTGTGCCTGCTGTACGAATGTCTGACTACTGTAATAATCTGTGCCTGCTGTACGAATATCTGACTACTGTNGGGGGGGGGGGGGGGGGGGGGGTTAGGCAATAAGTAAATATAAAAGCATTCAGGGGCGTATTTGATTTCAGGAGGGACGGGAGATGAAAAAGTTCTGGTCTTTTTTTTTTCTAAGGACATGTGTCATGAGATGAAATTGATTTTTTTTAAAGTGGTTACGCGCGCGCACAGACACACACACAAAGATAAGCAAACACACACACACACACATATATGTGTATATATGTATATATATATGTATATATATTTACATGTATGTATATATGTTTATACTATGCGTCAAAACAAACAGTACTGAAGCCTTGTCGATTCCACTTTCAAGAAGTCTGAGTTTTGTATTTCAAAATACTCATTATCCACCCGGGCGCTGAAATGACCAGAGTCATTGCGCCAATAGTGTGACGCAGTGTCACCGGTGCGATCACGTGACGGAGTGACGTCTTATAAGTGTAGCTTACCGGCGCACGAGGGGGGGGGGGGGGGGGGTCAGAAGTGTGGTGGAGTAATTGCGTGTTAATGTTTTACTCTTCACAATGACATAATGATTAGCCGCCAAGCAGGATTCACAGGTCAGGTCATGAAGCAACGCTTTTTTTGTTTGTTTGTTTAGGCTCATACCAAAATACCAACTCTCCCAAATGAAAAGCAAAAGAAATCAGAACAACGACCATTGGTTGGCTCCCGGGTTATGTTGTAATAAAGATGGATTGGACACAATTCACGTTTTACGAAAAGAGAAATACAATTTTGATTTTTTTTTTGTTTCTTTTTGTTTGTTTATCTAAGGAGCAATATGGCAGAAACTGACCCAATTATTGAGTTGTATCACAACATATAGAAAAAACCAACATAATTATTTTGTTCAATCACAACTAGGGTCCTTTTCCCAGGATCTCGAAATCCCGTATAATATTTTGTAAACAAAAGCCTTACCCGGAAATCCCGGGTCCACACTTTGTTTTGTTTATCTTAAAAATTAAATTTCATTTAAAGAAGTTCACAAATTGTCACTACAAGCCAGGACCTGGTCACTATAAGCCAGGACCTGTATGATACAGTCAACTGCGCCGAAAGGCCCACATTTTTCAGCTTAGTGTGACAACTTGTTTTCTTTAGATGTAAATAATGGCTCTACCATGCTCCGCCACAACACCCCCCCCCCCCACCTTTTGTGAAAAAACGACTAGACATAAAACCTTTAAAATATCAAACATCCGTCAAGCTTTGACAAAAAAAACTTAAGAAAGAAATAATGTACCTTAATTTGTGAGTATGTGTACAAGTTGATAATTTTGTCCATTTCCAATTGGCCAGTTACTTACGCAAGCGAGACGAGAAGAGAGTCAAGTCTGGACTAATAGAGAGACGGAGAATTACAACACTGATGGTGGCCAGGTACCAGTCACAGTTAGGTTAGACTTTGTTTTTATATGCCAGATTGGGAATCATATTTTAATTAGAAACATCCACAAATTAATCTGTTTATATATCTAATATTAAGAAGCTATAAATTGGGGTGAGGATTAAGTATTAAAGGTAGATTTTTTATTTTTGAGATTTAGATAATAGAAATCTTTCTTTCTTTCACTTTCTCAGATATGTTTGTGTTTCGATTCTTTATTCAGAAATCCATATTTTTACGAACCTAAACTAACTTCCGGGCCATGATTATCGGATGTATATGTTTATTGAACGTGTATCATATTCAAACGAGACCCAGTCAAACATAGACACGGTATATTTATGGAATTCATGGTTTTGGACAACACGTTCTTTTAGTTCTATTAATTCTGGGCATGAGACAAACAAACCTGTGTCAAACAAACAAACCTGTGTCAAACAAACCTTCGACAAACAAACCTCTGTCAAATAAACCTGCGTCAAACAAAATTGTGTCAAACAAACCTGTATCAAACAACATTCGCCAAACAAACCTGTGTTAAAAAACTTGTGTGAAACACACCTGTGTCAAACAAACCTGTTTCAAACAAACCTGTTTCAAACAAACCTGTGTCAAACAAACCTATGTCAAACAAACCTGTGTCAAACAAACCTGTGTCAAACAAACCTGTGTCAAAAAAAACCTGTGTCAAACAATCCTATGTCAAACAAACCTGTGTCAAATAAACCTGTGTCAAACAAACCTGTGTCAAACAAACATGTTTCAAACAAACCTGTAACAAACAAACCTTTAACAAATAAACCTTCGCCAAAATAAACCTGTGTCAAACAAACATGTTTCAAACAAATCTGTAACAAACAAACCTTTAACAAATAAACCTTCGCCAAAATAAACCTGTGTCAAACAAACCTTGTAAAAATAAACTTTGTCATACAAACCTTCGCAAAACAAACCTGTGTAAAAAAAACCTGTGTCAAACAAACCTGTGTCAAACAAACCAGCAAAAAAGTAATCCTTCGAAAAATAAACTTGTATCAAATAAACTTGTGTCAAACAAACCTGTTTCAAACAAACCTGTGTAAAACAAACCTGTGCCAAGTTAACCTGCAACAAACAAACCTGTGTCAAAGAAACATGTGTCAAACAAACCTGCGACAAACAAATCTGTGACAAACAAACCTGTGACAAATAAACCTGCGCCAAGTTTCTGATAGACAATCGATGCAAGTTGTTTTCAATTATGTACATACTCCAGGTCAACCTTTAAAGAAAATATTTAGAGGCAATACTCAAATGAACCTGTGAGGTAATACTCAAATGAACCCTTAGAGGCAATACTCAAATTAACTTTTAGGGGCAATACTCAAATGAACCTTTAGGGGCAATACTCAAATGAACCAGTAGAGGCAATACTCAAATGAACCTTTAGAGGCAATACTCAAATGAACCTTTAGAGGCAGTACTCAAATATACCTTGTGAGGCAATACTCAAATGAACCTTTAGAGGCAATACTCAAATGAAACTTTAGATGCAATACTCGAATGAACAATTTAGAGGCAGTACTCAAATGAACCTTGTGAGGCAATACTCAAATGAACCTTGTGAGGCAATACTCAAATGAACCTTTAGAGACAATACTCAAATGAACCTTTAGGGGCAATATTCAAATGAACCTTTAGAGGCAATACTCAAATGAACCTTTAGAGGCATTACTCAAATGAACCTTTAGGGGCAATACTTAAATGAACCAGTAGAGGCAATACTCAAATGAACCAGTAGAGGCAATACTCAAAAGAACCTTTAGAGGCAATACTCAAATAAACCTTTAGAGGCAGTACTCAAATGAATCTTGTGAGACAATAATAAAATAAACCTTTAGAGGCAATACTCAAATGAACCTTTAGGGGCAATACTCAAATGAACCTTTAGAGGCAATACTCAAATGAACCTTTAGAGGCAATACTCAAATGAACCTTTAGAGGCAGTACTCAAATGAACCTTTAGAGTCAGTACTCAAATGAACCTTTAGAGGCAATACTCAAATGAAACGTGCTGGTCCTCCTCCCAGAGGTTGATTTTAACCAAGGCGAAGAAAAGACTTGAACTGATGTTTGAATGAATGAAACAGAATCAAGAAATATCTACACATCATTGTGTATCACACATAGAACATGCCCTGTAATATAATGTACACATTGTGTATCAACACACAGTGCATGTCCTGTAATAGCATCTACACATTTTATATCAACACACAGAACATGCCTTGTAATAGCATCTACACATTGTGTATAAACACATAGATCATGCCTTGTAATAGTATCTACACATTGTGTATCAACACACAGAACTTGCCTTGTAATAGTATCTACACATTGTGTATCAGCACGCAGAACATGTCTTGTAATCGCATCTGAACATTGTGTATCAACACACAGAACATGTCTTGTAATAGCATCTGAACATTGTGCATCAACACACAGAACATGTCTTGTAATAGCATCTGAACATTGTGTATCAACACACAGAACATGTCTTGTAATAGCATCTGAACATTGTGTATCAACACACAGAACATGTCTTGTAATAGCATTGCCCAATTTAAGGGTTGATAAACTTGCTGCTGTTTCAGCGACATTCTCTTACTCAGCATGCGGCTGGTGTGCAGGTGCCACAGATGTCTTTTAAGATCGTTGATAAGCTGATCTTGGGATGTGCCATGGCTCTGGTTATCATGATAAGCTGATCATGGGATGTGCAATGGCTCTGGTTATCTTGATAAGCTGATAATGGGATGTGCAATGGCTCTTGTTAACTTGATAAGCTGATCATGGGATGTGCCATGGCTCTGGTTATCATGATAAGCTGATCATGGGATGTGAAATGGCTCTGGTTAACTTGATAAGCTGATAATGGGATGTGCAATGGCTCTGGTTATCTTGATAAGCTGATAATGGGATGTGCAATGAGTCTGGTTAACTTGATAAGCTGATAATGGGATGTGCCATGGCTCTGGTTATCTTGATAAGCTGATAATGGGATGTGCAATGGCTCTTGTTATCATGATAAGCTGATAATGGGATATGCAATGGCTCTGGTTTTCATGATAAGCTGATCATGGGATGTGCAATGGCTCGGGTTATCATTATAAGCTGATAATGGAATGTGCAATGGCTCTGGTTATCATGATAAGCTGATCATAGGATGTGCAATGGCTCTGGTTAACTTGATAAGCTGATAATGGGATGTGCAATGGCTCTGGTTATCTTGATAAGCTGATCATGGAATGTGCAATGGCTCTGGTTAACTTGATAAGCTGATAATGGGATGTGCAAATGCTCTGGTTATCATGATAAGCTGATCATGGGATGTGCATTGGCTCTGGTTATCTTGATAAGCTGATAATGGGATGTGCAATGGCTCTGATCATCTTGATAAGCTGATAATGGGATGTGCCATGACTCTGGTTATCTTGATAAGCTGATAATGGGATGTGCAATAGCTCTGGTTAACTTGATAAGCTGATAATGAGATGTGCAATGGCACTTGTTATCTTGATAAGCTGATCATGGGATGTGCAATGTCTCTGGTTATCATGACAAGCTGATAATGGGATGTGCCATGGCTCTGGTTATCATGATAAGCTGATCATGGGATGTGCCATGGCTCTGGTTATCATGATAAGCTGATAATGGGATGTGTAATGGCTCTGGTTTTCATCTTGTACAGTCTTTCTCCAAACTGAAAGATCCGCTGACCCGTGCCAGACATTGCCTTTAATGAAGTAATTCGACAAGCACTTCACGTAGCATTACACAAACCACATGTAAATTAGATTGCAACGCTTGTCAAAATAAACCAGACATGAATAACATTGATAGTTTTTGCAAGTAAAAGTTATAAAGATATAGATCTAAACAAATTGAAACATAAAAATACAAATTAGTTTAAAAAAACGACATTTTCCCAGGATATTTCATTCTAAAGACGTGTATGGGTTGTTATACGAAACGCCTGATCCAAAAAAATATTAATACAAATAAATAATTTTTAAAAATACATGGTATATATTCAATTTCAGCACATAAATAATTAAATATTTGAACTAAAACAGCATTTCACAAATAGAACAATTTAAACACAAGACATCTAAAGTATTTCTCTACCACAGAAATCAGCCATCATATGCCATGCAATGTTACTACATTAGTGACAATAATGAGTTAATTTGTGATCATTAAGATTTGGGAGCCGCTGGGGGTGCACGAGAGTATTAAATACTGATTGACGGTGGGGAAAAAAAAGAACTTTGATATCTTTCACTATGACGTTTTAAGGGAAAGAATTCGCTCTGATCGGGGTGATCTAGGTATATGGGATGGGTATGTTAGGGGATATACATGCCTAATTGTTCGAATACCTATTTGATGAAAAATTATGTTGTTTAACCAAAAACAATTTTTCATCAAGTAGATATTCAAATAGTTTTTCAAATAATTCTTCAAATAGTTCATCAAATAGTTCATCAAATAGTTCATCATATAGTTCATCAAATAGTTCTTCAAATAGTTCATCAAATAGTTCTTCAAATAGTTCATCAAATAGTTCATCAAACAGTTTATAAAATAGTTCATCACATGGTTCATCATATAGTTCATCACATAGTTCATCATATAGTTCATCAAATAGTTCATCAAATAGTTCATCAAATAGTTCATCAAATAGTTCATCAAATAGTTCATCAAATAGTTCATCAAATAGTTCATCAAATAGTTCATCAAATAGTTCATCGAGTAGAGGATGTTTCATTCCATGTTTAGCTTTCTTTCATTTTTGAGACATTCAATTGAAGCAAATGTTCATCGCACCAAGTGATGACGCTTATGTTTAATTCGCGGCACAACCCCCCCCCCTTTTTTTTTTTTTCAAATATGAAGCCAACGATATTATAGCTTAGGGTTACGTTCACCACACAGTTGTCACTCATCACAGTTAGTTCTAAGTGGAGCAGCGCTCAATGTTTTATTTAAATATTTGGCTTCATCGGGCCCTAGTTAACTCTGGACAAACTCAGTCATCATGTGTAAAATGACTTACTGTTTGCGTAGCTTTCAATATGTGTAAAATACATTAGGTGGGGTAGCAGAAGTTGGGGTGGTCGTGGGGTGGTCGTGGGGCAAGCCTTTATGATAAAATAGGTAGGATTAATATAACGCCTTTTAAAACCTATTTAGATTTTTTAAATTTATTTCCAAGTGAATCGTAAAGATATTTTGTTTGTATGCTTTGAAAGTTAAAATAGAAAGTTATTGTTGTTGTTTTTTTTCCATTCTATTTTTACAGGCATCGGTCGCAGTGAAGCTGCGGTAGAACTTGTCAATCAGAACAGATATTACAGTTCAGAGGCTGGATTTGACGTGAACAAGACAGACAACCCACATAAACTTCTACTGGGAGCCATCGATTCTAAGTCGTTTCCCTTGCCCATTGGCGCCCCAGCGGCGTCTGCGGCGAGGACAGAACCGGCGCTGAAATCCCTCTCAAACTCTCACAGCTGGCCGCTGGTCTCAACTCGAAGGTCAATCGCCAGCAACGCCCACGTCAACTGCCTCCACGGCCGTAACCCACACCACGCGACGAAGGTCGACATTACAACCAGCCGCCAACACAACATCGCCGCCAAGGATGCTCAACCAGAGAAAGACCAATCGCCCGTTTGGCAAGATTCATTGCGGTCCGGCTCGCCCATCCCCCGACCCCCCAAAAGTGGTCACTTTGGCGCCAACACGACCAGCCACTACCAGCACCGGCATTACCCGACCTACCTGGCCAAACAACCCCCGTACTCCCACCCCAACGTCTTCTACACGAGCCTCAACTCCCAGTTCACATCCCCGTCACCGCTGTTCTTCAAGCTGAAGCAGAAGAAGAGACGCTACGACGGCATGCCCGTGGACGACATGAACGACTGCTACAAGGTCCCTGATCACCACGTCATCCACGACCGAGGCGAGGTCAGCAGTCCGTTCTACGATGATAACGACGACTTTTCCCAACCATACATCATGGCGGACCCCAACGACGACGGGTTCGGTTACGGGAGCCGGGGCCACAATCACTACTGCCATACGATTCTGGACGCCTCGGGGTTCGCCGTGTCCGAGGACGAGGCCTACCCGTTTAACGACGAGAGCAGGTATGACGGTTTGAGCAATGGCTATGTGACTAAGAACCTTGATCAGAACCATCAATGCCTAGATGGTGAGACCTACCAGTCTTTCCTTGACCAGCGCGCTGACCATTTGCGCAACAAAGTCCCTTTAAAAGACAATCCAGGCAAACGTAGTTTGACCCATCGCATGACAGGAAACACATTTCTCAGCCCAGACTCGTGTAAGCCGGAAACGTCCAGAATGAAACTGGATTCGTGTGAGGGTTCCAACAGATGTCAGCAATCAAGTGTGTACTGCGGGGGGAGACAAGGAGAATACGACACCGCTGGAGTTAGACCTGGCAGTTCCGTACTCCACAAGTCACCGCTAACAGTACAAACATTCAAAGGAAGTGTGATGAATATGATCAAATCAAAATCGCCTTCGCCCAAACGAGGCTTAGGCTCAGTCAACAGAATTAACGTTATAGACACAAGCTCGAGTCCTGAAACCAAATTACGGCAAACAGATCTTGTGTACACAAACGGTGCACCCTTCCATCAATCACTTCCGGGTAGCCAATTCCAGACGGACTGCTGCGTGAAATGCTCGAACCCGACGAGCTCAATGACACCGTGCGAAGTGGTGCAAGACCTCGTGCTCATAGACAAGCACAAAAGTCATGAACACAAATGCCACCAACACAAATGTCATGAACATAAAAGTCATGAACACAAATGTCATGAACATAAGAGTCATGCTACGTCTAACAATATTGGCTCGCCCAAAAAGAACCTCGATGGAGCCTCAACATATTTACCGGCGAGAATGCCCTGCGTTTCGCCCTGTCGCGTGGCTGTGCCTGCAACAACCAGAACATCAGCCCCATCAGTTTCGTTTGTAAACCGGACACCGGACAATACTGGCCGAGTTGGCCTCTCGCCGAAATCTCTCCGAAGTGATGCCTCGCACAGTTCACTCCTGGGTGGGGACTCGCCTAAATCACCCCAGGGTGTTGGCTCCCCGTATCTAAACAGGGGCGGAGATTCGCCCAAGTCTCCTCGGGGTGCGCCATCAGCCAACTCACCCCGAGGTGGGGAATCACCAATGTCGCCTCTGAGTGGAGAGTACCTGCACTCGCCACTGCAAACCCCGACACTGAGGGGTCTTGATCCCACATTGGTGTTTCAGCACAATAAGCGGAAACTGGCAGTGAAATCTGACTAGCTGGGACTATAACTGGCAGTGAAATCTGACTAGCTGGACTATAACTGGCAGTAAAATCTGACTAGCTGGGACTATTACTGGCAGTGAAATCTGACTAGCTGGGACTATAACTGGCAGTGAAATCTGACTAGCTGGGACTATAACTGGCAGTGAAATCTGACTAGCTGGGATTATAACTGGCAGTGAAATCTGACTAGCTAGGACTATAACTGGCAGTGAAATCTGACTAGCTGGGACTATAACTGACAGTGAAATCTGACTAGCTGGGACTATAACTGGCAGTGAAATCTGACTAGCTGGGACTATAACTGGCAGTGAAATCTGGGCCCTTAAAATAAAGAAGAAGAAGAAGAAGAAGACTATAGGTATATAAATAAGAGAACTGTTTTTTTGAAGTGGGAACAAATGTGCACAGAAAATAGTAAATTTAGTAAAAAGAATGTAGGAACAAGTAAGATGAAATATGAGCGATGGATGAAACATTGTAATATGTCATATATGTCAGGAATATATTCACCATGCGCTTATTTCTGTTTGCTTTATGCGTAAAGCCTTTAAATTATTATGACCGGGTTATGTGCTAACAAGACGAATACCACCATAAAGTTAAACAGCTCATGTCATTGATGTTGTGTGTCGAAGTTGTTATGTTATGTTTATTTATAGTATCTGAGCGCGCGTGCGTTTGTCCCACTGGGAATTTCCCTGTTGCTGCCATGTTTGTGACGCAATATGTTGTGACGGCCTAGTACGCCCGATTTCCGTTTGCCACTTTCGCTTTTACACCCGAGAGCAGAGAGTCTCTGTGACGTAGATGAGGTTACAAACCCCACGTTGTCAGAAAACTTGGCACGTGCCGTCTCACCACGTGAAGCGTGGCTAAAAATACTCGAGTCTCGAGAGATAGCAGGGGAGAGAACAAGATAAATTTTCAGAGTAACAAAAATGCGAAATAGAGTGAAATAAAGGAAGGTTGAAAGTTAAAAGAGGAAGAGAAAGATAAAAAAGAGAGATGAAAGAGCAAGAGAGAGAGTGAGTGAGATGAGAGAGAGATCTGGAGAAATAGAGCATGGTGGAGAGAGAGTTAGAATGAGAGAGAGTTGGAGAAAGAGAGTGTAGTGGAGAGAGAGAGAGAGAAAGAGAGATAAGGAGAAAGAGGGAGAGAGAGAGGGAGAAAGAGCGAGAGAGAGAGAGAGAGAGAGAGAGAGAGAGACAGAAATAGATAGAGAGAAAAGGACATTTGTCTTAATGTATCATGCTTGCTATGAGTGGCTTACTGTGTATGTAAAATATATCAAACTCACTTTCCAAGGTGACTAATTACATTCTAATGTCGCTACAGCTGATCTTTGTTGGTGACTTAACACAATTGCTGATGACAAGTGACATTTAATAAAATGTTTCATGTAGATATATTGTCAACAATTTGTTTTCTAGTGTTAATGTGTTCGTATTTAACAATTTGATCCTACGGAACAAAAGATCAAAGACTCTTTCAGAAGTTTTAACAAAACATTGGACTAATTTATGGCAAGGCCTGAATATCTTTTAACCAAAAACTTTGACCAATGTCTTGCAAATACTGAGATTCTTTTAACAAAACTTTGGACAACTATGTTGCAAATTATGAGATTCTTTTAACAAAACTTTGGACCAATATGTTGCAAATGCTGAGATTGTAAATATTTGACTGATAAAGTTTTTACTGTCCTACACCAGATGTCTAGATTAATTGTGTTATATAAATATGTCTTGTTGCCAGTTAGAATCTAAAACAAAATAAAAATTCTTTTAGCCTTCGGTGACGGGAAGCTACCCAGAAGACTTTCCATGTGAAGAGTACGCATAGAGACACATATTTCCGGAAATTCAGTGAATTCCAGTTCCATTTTCCTTGCTCAATTTCCTCAAACATTCTTTTGGGCTCAGTTTCTCTCGTTGCTATTCATGCCGTGCTTTGAAAGCTGTCCTTAGCTTTAACTTGGCCACGGTAAATGTCTATGAAATATAAGGACAGGGTATGCTAAACTTGAATGTCCAGTGGTGTGGTTCTTTTGTTTCAATGCAGCCAATGTCCTAACTAATGTTAAAATGAAATGGCAGTTAGAAAAATGAATGAATATCCATCATTACTTTGTTATATTGTCTCACAACACAAACGAAATATATATAATAAAGATTATTCGAAAAGCACTCTTCATCCCAAAAGGCTCGAAGCGCGGTACATACTGCAATGAAGTACAAAATGCATCATTCCAAAAACGATATGCGAGAATACCCATTCTAGGTCTTTTCATACCTTGCAACCTTAAACAACACAGGCCAATAAATCTACAAGATAATAGCTAGATAGACAACATCACACCAGCAGGTTTTTGCGAAATAGATAAGTCTTCAAATCAGTTTTGAAAGACTCCAGTGTCTGGCTGTTTCCGAGAGCTACAGGAAGGGGGTTCCAAATTGTTGTGCTAGGAAATGCGAAAGTGCGCCCCTCTTAAGTCTCAAGGCGAACACGTGGTATCGAGAGGGTGACATTATCAGATGAGCGGAGTTGTCCCGTGGCTACATAAGGCGTCAGTTGCGCTTTGAAATAGGACGATGCCAGGTCATGCAAGCAGCGGTAGCACTGAGTTGCAATTTTGTACTCTATGCGAGCGCGGACCTGCAGCCAATGCAACTCTCTTAGAAGTGTTTTAGCGTGGTCAAATTTGCATTTTCGAAGAACAATGCGAGCCGCAGTATTTTGTGCTTTTTAAATTTTATCCATGAGCGTAGCTAGCTGGAAGACCCACCATAAGAGCATTGCAGTAGTCCATGCGTGATAGCACGAACGCAGACATCAGCCTTTTTAATACATCTAACGTTAAGAAAGGTCTGATTTGACTAATTCTGCGCAGCTCTAGAAAAATTACCTTGCAAAGCATGTTAATGCAATTTTCCATAGTTAGTGTTGTGTCTAAGTAGAGACCCATGTTTCGCACCGTTTGAGCAAACTCAATCTGTATACCTGAGAGAGTAAGGGTTTGTGTGTTATTTATATATTTTAGTTTGGAGCGGCAGCATTGGGGATCAGCTCAAACTTTTCATCGTTTAATTTAAGCTTGTTTATAGTCATCAAGTGCTTACTGACTCCACTGTCTTATGTGTTATACTAAGAAGCTGATGGAACTGAGAGGGGATCATATCTATCTGATGTTGGGTATCATCCGCGAACATGTGATAGAGCATTTCAAACTGCTTGATCACTGTACCCAGGGCTGAACGTACATAGTGAAAAGCACCGGGCCTAGGACCGAGCCCTGGGGTAATCAGAATTCGATGATAGATTGCTTCGCGGTCAAGCCGTTTGCGATAACGGATTGGACCCGATTGGTCAGATACGAGCGAAACTATTTCAGGACGGTATCGATGAAACCGAACGTATTTTCCAGACGTTGGAGAAGTGTGCCGTGGTCAAGCCTATTGAACGGAGCCGATAGATCAAGTAACGACAAAAGCGATATCTTGCCCTCGCCAAACGATGACAGAATGTCATTTACGAGGCGCAACAGGGATGTCTCGGTAGACTGATATATATATATATATATATATATATATATATATATATATATATATATATATATATATATATATATATATATACACATATCTTCTTCTTCTTCTTCTATATCTTAAGGGCCCACGATCAATTTATTGATCATTTTGGCTCCTATGCATGTAGATGGGATTTGCAATGTTTCTGTTACTGGTGGTGATGAGGAAATTATGCACTAGGGGTTTGAAGGCTTGAGGCAATAGACACAAATGTGTCTAGTGTTGTCGCCTCAACTGTTCCTTTTGAAAGATGGTTCCAGTCCCTGATTGTCTTGGGCAGGAATGAGCAGCTCCTATACTGGCTTCTTGCTGGTATGAGCCTGAATTGCCTGTCATGGCCTCGTCGCTGTCTATGGGGGAGAGGGACGAGTTTCTGTTTAATACTGGAACAGTGGACCAGCCCATTATTTATCTTGTACATCATGGAGAGCCTGGATTGTCGTCGTCGTTTCTCCAATGGTGACCAGCCTAGTGTTTCTAGCATGCTGCCAACACTAGAGGTATTCCTGTAGCGGTTTAGGACAAAGCGTGCTGCTCGTCGCTGGACCGCCTCCAACCTGTCAATGCTCTTCTGGGTAAATGGGTCCCAGACTGAAGATGCATAATCTAAAATCGGACGGATAAAGGCTTTATATGCTCTTTCTTTCACACAGGAGTTGCCAATCTTTAGATTTCGCCTTAAGAACCCCAAGGCTTGGTTTGCTTGGTTACATACATTGTTAATATGCTCGTCCCAGCGGACCTCTCTTTGAATGGTAACACCCAGGTACTTTACGGAGGAAACTTGCTCAAGAATATGGCCGTGCAGTTTGTATTGGTAGTGTAGAGGAGTACAACTTCTAGAGATTGATAGTGTCTGGCACTTGGCAGGGTGAAATTCCATGTCCCAGCTCATCTCCCACTCAGCTAACAGATTGAGATCCTGTTGCAGCTGGTCCTGGTCAGATCTATACATATATATACAGGAAGGAAACCAAGGATTTTCGAGCAAATTTCTCGACCTGCGATCTATTAAAATTTTCATTTGAGGAATAATCTTATACCTAATAAATACATTGTAAATCAATTTTTTACCTATATATTGCGTGCGCACTTTTGATCCCTTTTTAAAAAAAACAAAACAACCCCATAAACTCTTCAGCACTGCTCTCCCTTTCACTAATGAACACACACAGACATCAACAAAAGCCATCACTAACAAGATGAGTATTTTTATGGGGGTGATACAACCTGTAGAAACAGAGTCCATATAACAGCTTGCCCCACCCCCCCCCCCACCTTCACCCCCACCACCACCACCTTAACGTTATTTATAGGTCTAGCTAAACGTCACAACCAACGGCCTTTTAGCTACCCGTGGGTTAGTATTTCCGTACCGTTTCCTAGAAGCAACATCCTAAGCAGAAGAATATGGAAGAGGAAGAAGAAATTACCTTTGAGACCACTGAGACGGCGGCCTCGGAGTTGGTAGGACGCGTCATCTCGGACGCAAAAACGATTGTCTCCAATGAAGAAGAGGATGAAGATAGACAAGCCGGTAATTAGTGTGGGTGTAGTGTGACTCTCTGCAACCTTACATGTCCGTCAACATCGATCCCAATTTTCAATTTTTTTGTATTTTCAAATTGGTTTTAGTTATTGTTGCTCAACCAGAAACGCCATTCCGTGTCGTGGGCTTGATAGACGAGACAACAAACCAACGAAATGCCCAAGGCATTTTTTGTAACAAGCTGTCATTTACCACGACATCGGTATTTTCAGTTGCGACCTATTTTCAACACGATATTGCGGACGAGTAGAACTCAAAATAGGGCTTACTGTAGTTTCGCGCATATAAGATGCGCCCGCTTATAAGACGCACCCGTGTATAAGAAGCGGGTTTTGGCGATTTGTGTAAACAAAAATTACATAAGACGCATGCGACCCAGCCATCTGTCACATTGAGCAAGTTATATCCAGTGGTTTCCTTTCCTTTATCAGGATGTGAACAAGGCTTCATGACCAATTGTAGTAAATGGTAAATGTTTATCCGAGGAAAATGATATCATAAAAAGATGGACTGAATACTGCTCAGAGCTGTACCGGTATAATAAAAAATATAAAGATTGGCACAGAGATAGCATTATCCATTCACCAAGTAGCTCAGTGACTTATCATAACATTATCTATTCAACAAGTAGCTCAGTGGCTTATCATGACATTATCCATTCACGAAGCAGCTCAGTGGTTTATCATAACATTATCCATTCACCGAGTAGCTCAGTGGCTAATGATAACATTATCTATTCAACAAGTAGCTCAGTGGCTTATCATAACATTATCTATTCAACAAGTAGTTCAGTGGCTT